GACTATAACATATATATATATATATTATATATATTCTTTTTTATGAAGACAGTAGTTAGTCCGAATTCACAATTTATAAAATAACGTGTGAATGTAGTACGGATGTAGTACGTCTAAATTTCACTCACACTACACACTTTCATACAGAACATACTTTTTAAACGATTGTGAATGAAGTTCTTATTCAAATGTAGTATACCTACTAAGGGTGTGTATACATTTGCAGGTTTGGTGTTAGTAAAACAAAGTCTAGTGCAATTGCTTTGTTAGTACGGTTCATTTGAATAAGTGTGAACGCTGCCATCCGAACCTAGGTACAAACCAAATAAGCCATCTAAACAAACCAAAAACAGCGTGTGATGTTACAAGATGCAACTGTGAAGAGGACAGAATGCTCAAGCATACCTGGTTCTTCTTGTCGGGAGCTTTGTTGCCCATTACATTTTGGTACAGACGTCGGAACCGCCGTCTCCTTACAGCAGATCTATGTGCAACGGAAGAATTCCTGTATCTGTTTTGACTCCAGTCATTTACATATTTGATAAGTTCTTTGTGAGATATAAGCGGGTAAAAATAATGCATTTACACACATACAATGAACACATTTAGCCCAGCACACAGCATTGTTTAGATGTTTGGTAAGTTAGCAAGATATGCCTTAAAAGCTGTCCAATCAGGTTATGACCGTGTCCTTATGCCTTTTGCTCTGTATCTGAAAATGTCAGCATGAACGCAAAGCCAACCAGGACTAAATGTTTCATTTTCTTTTCTGGTCCGGACCAAGGGAACTGAACTACATTAGTGTAAACACACCCTAAGAGAGTATGTGATTTCGGAGGCAGCTTTTCTTTCTGGATTTAACTGATTGTTGAAGACTGTTCACCCCAAAATGGAAATTCTTTCATGCCATTCCAAACCTGCATGACTTTTTGTGTGTCTGTAAAGCAAGAGAATACATTTTGAAGCATTTTGTGCATGAAATTAAAGTCAGTGGGTCTTTTGTTGTTTTGGACCCTGTTGAGTTTCATTTTATGGACAAAAAACAGTTGAAGCATTTTTAAAATACCTTCCATTGCACAGAAGAAAAACATCATACAGGTTTGGAATGAAATAAGGGTGATTAAATGATGCCAGAATTGAAATTATCGGTTGAAATATCCATTTAAGCACTGACACACAGAGATGATTTAACCTCAGGATACTGGCTTGTAGGCACAGGCAACCTTAATGCTTTAGTGAACCCTGTTCTCGTGAAACAAATGCATTCAAAAAGGTAGAGTACTATGTAGCTGTTTAAGACTGCACAGCTTCAATCAAGAAATCAATCATTTTCTGCTTGTTAAGTTTGTCTAACCAGGTTGTAAATTCAGCATTTTTACTTTTGCAGTGTGCAATTATAATCACCAGTTACAGTCTCACCACTGAGCTTGGAATAGTAATTATTACACAGAGATGCAGAGAACATTTCCACATAAACATGAGCAGGCTCCGAGAGAAATATGGTGAAATGAAAAGGTGATGATGGCTTCCTATAATTGCAATAATGGCCAGCAGATGAGGACTGCATTAACATTTGGTGGTTAACGTTCATAACTCTTCAGCTCTGCGGCATCACTTAACATTTCTATATTATTGCCACAAAGTCCTCTGTCTCACCTCATGTATATTTCATGAGTGTTGCTCTTTTCCTTACTATTTAGTTCTTTGTGGAGCGCAAATACTGGGAACTGATGAGCAGGTCATTGTATAGGTCATTTTTAGGAGAGACAAGTTTTGAGATTTTAATTGTTCCCTTTTCCTCTCTAGATTCTTTTAAATTATCGCTATAAACTGAGGCGGTTTGCTTATAATTAGATGTTTTTATTCACCAGAATTACCCCATTCCAGTGGGAAAGAATGCAGCAAAACAAAAAAACAAATCTTAACAGTGGTTCTGTTGCAAATAGCTGTGATATTGCTATAATTGCAAAGTTATTGTTTAGAGACAGATCTAACAATCTGTGTAACTATCAGGTAAATGCTAAAATGTTTTTCTTACACTTTTATTGCATGTCATTTTAAAAAGTTTCCCAAAATATTTTCAAGGCAAAAATACACTCAAGATGTTTCTTGGAATTGTTCCTTCTGACCTGAACAAAACCTGACTTTTCATAGAAAGGTCAAAATATGTAGATTTTTGAGTCTTGCATATAACATGAATATTATTATTTTTTTTTTGTTGTAGAATTACACTGTTTGACCTGAATTAAACTTGCTGTTTGATAAGAAGGTTTAAGTATGTTTGGGGTCAGTGTTTTTTTTTTTAATGTTTTTGAAAGATTGTTACAAAGGCTACATTTATTTGACCAAAACCACAGTTGTCAAGATCTCCAGCTGGAGTGCCCGTGAGCTTCGCTAGAGGGCACCCCATCCCGGACTTTACCACTCCATCAAAAACTTAATTACAGCAGGCAAGGGTCAACACACAGGCAATCAGTCCAACTAAACAAGGCAGAGAACACAGGCAAAGAGTCCAAAAACCAAGATACATAGAAACGCTCAGAGATGCAGTGTAACACTTACAAGACTTCGCCAAGAATGACAAACTAAACCAGACTTATATAGGGTGAGCAGACAGGGTAAATGAGACACAGGTGCAAAGAGTGAGTGTTGATGAGTCCGGGCAAAGGATTATGGGAAATTAAGTTTATGATGGAGTGGTAAAGTCCGGGATGGGGTGCCCTCTAGCGAAGCTCACGGGCACTCCAGCTAGAGATCTTGACAACAGTAAATACAGTAATATTGTAAAACATTTTTGCAAATTAAAATCACTGTTTTCTGTTTTAAAATGTATTTTATTCTTGTGATGCAAAGCTGAATTTCCAGCAATTACGCCAGTCCTCAGTGTCACATGATCCTTCAGAAATCATTCTAATATGCTGATTTTGTGTGTTCAAGAAACATTTCCTATTATTATTAATGTCAGGTATGCCGCTTAATATTTTTGTGGAAACTGTGATCCTTTTTTCTGGATTCTTTGAAGAACGGAGAGTTCAGAAGAACAGCATTGTTTTGTAACATAATGAATGTTTTTTTTTTTTTTTACTGTCACTTTTGATAAATTTAATACATCCTTGCTGAATAAAAGTATTGATTTCATTAAAAATACAGTAGTAGTATAAAATGTCAATATCATAACTTTTTTATATATATATATATCATATCAAAAGTTTAGGGTCAGTAAGATTTTTTTTACTGACCTCAAAACTTTTGAATGGTATGTGTGTATATATTTTAAAAGTAAAGTAATGGTTTTCTTGTCCCATGAAAATGAAGTGACTTTTAAGTTCAAGCATTAATAATATTTTATTTATATTTTAATTACATTTTTATTTTGTTTTTATGAACTAAAAATAAAACATTTGACAACTTCTTTCACCATATTGCAGCCTCTTAATGCTTTTCTTTTTTTATTTTTATAATCTCTAGACATTATACACATACAGTTAGTACTCTATGCCCTACAAAATATTTCAATATGACTTTTATTACAGAAAACATGTATTTCATATGAAAACATTTATTCATTTTTTTATTGCTTTTTTAATATATTTTTGACTAGCTCAGTAGGTGTGCACACTAGAGTAATCTGTTTAATCCGCAGTGCACGGTCGACCACTTCCTCCTTTCGCCTCAGTCAGCAGTTGAAATGAAATACAAATGCTAATACATGAGCCATTTAATCGAGGGCACTATTAGATTATGTACGGTACAAACTTTGCGCGGAGCCTGAAGTTGTTCCAGTTGCTGACGCTAGGAGCTGTCCGCGGTACTGAAACGGCTCGACTCAGTCTGAGAGGTGCTGACAGAAATTGAACATTCTCCGGCTCTCCTCCGTTCACAATTACAAATCTGACCAGAGCTCCCCGTCTCGTTCCTCACGGCGCGTGCGGCGGAGGTCTCGCGGAACGTTTGTGTCCTGTTCCTCTTTAATTATTCGGAAAGTGTTTTAATACAAGGACATATTCTGTGATAGGAGCCCACTGCCGCGAGCATGAACTCGACAAGAAATTACACACCAAACATGGTCATTCTGATTCTGGCCGTCTTTGCTGTCGTGTGGGTGGCACGAGGGCAAGGTAAGCATTTATATTTATAATTCTAAACATTGTATACTTGTTCTGCTTTCCACGCGATTAGCGGAAGAGGATACGCGCAGCTCCACAGACACCGATGGGAAGATGATGTGAACCCATTTCTCACTGTATTGTACATTTGTTAGCGGAGAAAAAACTCTAGCAGATTTGTGTTGAGGAGGTTTATTTAAGACGCTTCACTAGTACTTTGGTTGCACTCGAGCTGAAATATGTTCTCTCATCACACATTGCCCAACAGATGGACTCGTAAGTCACAAAGTCATCGGCGTAATTGTGATAAAGCCCACACAGGATGGACAGCACCGCGCTTGACAGTGTATTTCCTATTTGCTCCACGCTCTTCTATATTTATTTATGCATTGTGTTATTTTTATTCTTGCCAGAGATCTAGTCTCTCGTTTTAATTTTCCATTTTTCTTCCATGCCTCAATTCAATTTACAGATCATTCACACTAAATTTTTATTTAGACGAAATATTATAAATATTTATTAAATACACTTACTGGTTATTGATCATAACATAAAAATCATTATTGACTTATTGGTGTCAGCCAGAAATGTAATGGCTGTAAGTTCTCATTCAGTATTACGTGATGTAAAGTACACAAGCCAGATCTTTGGTTATAGATTTATCTGATCCGAATATTACATGTGATCATGTATAACAAGCTGAAAAGTTTGAGGTTCAACAGGTTTTTAATTTGAGGATCATAGTGTGGTGAGACTAAGGAACATTATTTATCTACTGATTTAAAAGTGAAATGTACTTTCAGTGATTATCAAGATCGGATCTTCACCTTCACAAGTCACTGTAAAATGCATTTTATTTACAGGGAAAATCCATTCATAGTTATGTAAACTTAAATTAAAATCTCTTCAGTAACTATTTTAATTTATTGTTGTAGAAAGAAAGCAGCGTAATCATGTAAAAAAAAATGTTAAAACTAAAGCACAATGTTTGGAACATGAGAATAATGTAGGTGACGTTTTAAAATTAGATTGGTTTGTTCTAGTATAAACTGTAGGCCTGTTTCATCCACACTTCCTTTACACCACACTGTTGACAGAATAAGTGAGTGACATCTTCTGAAACAGTTTGCATGTTTCATATCTAATATTTGTCATTTAACATAGGGGACTAAAACATTGTTGTCAGTAATATTTGACGTTGATATTTCTCACGATTTGCATTTGTTTTAAGGATTATATCAGTACAGAGCCTTACAAAGGTCATGTTTATTTTTAAAACATTGATTAATCACACAAAACATGTAAAATATAACACTAAATGCTAGCCATGCATTTTGCTCACTGAAAACTGCTACAGTCATTTTCCAAGCACAGCATAGTCCATGTTGCACTTCATTTTCGCACCAGAAAGCTGTTGTACACCACTACCTAAGAGCTCTGTGTTGTTTTTAGCTTTTGTCTGACAATTCCCGTCACTCTTTTTTTTGTCTTACTGTAAAAGCTCTGCGAGCAATACAAGGGATAATCCCTGTGTTATTTGTGAAGAGCTGCTCCATGCAGTATACTTTTGAGAGATACGCAGCACTCAATTCTCTGCGTAAATATTCTATGCGGTGTCAAATTATATTTTTTAATCTATACATAATTTCCATCTTGACATTTTTCCAATTCAAGAATACCTTTGCACTTTTACTCACCTGTCAGACTCTGCTGTGGAGACACTTGCGAAGCAATCATCTCACAAGCCCCTCATCATTTGGGAAGAATCTTTCATTTGCAAATGTGATATGTTTCATAGTTTTAGGTGGCAGGATTTAAATTGCACTTCATAGTTGAGACTGATTGAATGAGCAGAGCTTTTCCATCATGTCTTTTGTCTCAGACTCCTCTTGTCTGTCTGTACTAATTACATTTTGCACTGTATTGATTATATATTGGTGATTGGAACATTGACCTTTCTGCTTTTAGAGGTGTATAAGTTAGTGTTTCCGATCAGTCACCTTCAGGACAGGTGTGATGAGGCTTCAGGGTTGTGCGCTGAATGGCTCTTACCTTGAAAAGCACTCTGACTAATGCACAGCTCCATCATTCCACACTGAGCACAGACAACAGGCTAAAAGCACGACCCACAACTCACAAATGGATGATGGGCTATACAAGAAATGCAGGAAGGTCAGTGGGTCAATTTGCTGGGGTCTGTGCTGTCCTGCTGTGATAGACGCAGATGTAAATACACAATTAGTGCATGCACACCAGGAAACGCACACAGGAAAAGTCAAATGTCAATGTGTAAAAAATATGTGACTCATGTTAAGGCTGTTTTGAATAAGGCAACGGTGCATTAGCAAGTATGAATGTTTTTAAATGAGGTTCACTGGTGTACGGGACACCCCCACGGCTGGCTCATGGCATTGTGAGCAAAGGATATATGGTTACATTTGTAATCTGCAACAGTTTCTAATACATACAGTAGCTGAGTCTAAGCATATATGTATATATGGTGCATTTGCAAAGACTTTTCAATGCAGCATAAGTGTACGTGAAATCAATGAATATTGATTTGCATGCACAACAGACAGAAATCAAGTGTGCTGATTGTCATGACAGAGCAGGTGGTGTAAAGATGTTGTAGGAACCTTTACCAGCTTTACCAGCTGCTTCCCTGTAATGCAACATTTAGATTTTAATGGAGCTTCATTCTAGAATCTTTGCTGCGGAATCACTTGTCTCATTTACAGCAGATTTACACTTTGAACATGGCAATGAAAAGTCATAATGAAGATTAAAAGAAATAGGGATGCATTATGTATCTGTACTATAGTTTTGAGTAAAAAATGCTGGTAAAGAAGAAAACTTTATTCTACAAAAACATTATACCTCCAGCATGAATTTTGAAGTTGCTAACAAGTTGCTGTATAAGGATTACAACGATCAAACATGATCGCTATTAGGTATTTGTTTTAAGTATATATGGCCACTTAAAGTTATTCTTAAGTTATATTTAATAACACTGTTAAATGTAATCTTTAGCAAATCTCAAAAATGAATATTCATTTTTTAATACTGTGCATTGTAATGTTGTGATGCCTCAATTCAATTTACAGATCATTCACACTAAATTTTTATTTAGACAAAATATTATAAAATTGTATTATCGGTCACTTATTGGTTATTGATCATAACATAAAAATCATTATTGACTTATTGGTGTCAGCCAGAAGTGTATCAGTGAATTGGTGCATCCCTAATAAAATTATTATTAAGGCTAAATTGCCCAAAATAACATTAATATCTCTAACAATGTTGCTAAAAATGATTCATGACATCAGTTTGGAAACCAAAATGCTTATTCGCCATTGGTTCCCTCTGACATTTCCTTTGAGAACTGTGATGAGAATTGTAGTTTATGGTTTAGAGAAAAATGTGATCTTTGGTTAATGTTACTTAAGGGAATTTTCTCTTTTTGTTGTACAAAATAAACTCATACGTCCTACATGAATTTAAAAATTGCTTACATGTTGCTATATAGTGAAAAGAAGCTGCAAGTAACATTGAATTAAACGTGAAATTTTGAAGTAGTGTTTTGAATTACTACTTCAGTTTTGAAAGACTGAAGTTGTATTTTTTGTAAAACGTACTCCAGTAACCTGTTTTATTTACAACTTTGAAATTGTGAAGTCTCACAATGGTTGTCTCATTCATCAAGCATGTAAAACTCAAATCCTTGCTGTAGCTGTAGTCTATATTTAGCCACTTGTTAGCAAACACACAGCATTAAAATCCACATTTGAGATATGACTGTAGTGCCGAATGGTCTCAGCGCAGCGCAAGTAACATAGCGCAGTCACTGTCTGTGCTCTGGCACTGTGTAAGATCAGACATCCCAGGTCTCCACTGAGAGAATAAGAGTGTCAATGATGGGTCGACTTAAACACCGTGCTAGTCAACCCAGCTGAGATCAGCCCTCGAGGAGGGTGAGTTCCACAGCCTGACCTCATTACCCGAAGCACCAGGGGGAGGGTTCGGCCACACTTTCTCCCAACGTAGCTCATCCTGCTCCGAGAAGCCATTAGGTGCACACCCTGTCTTTTAGGATCAAGCAATATCACTCAATCAGCAAGTTATCAGTGCCCTGTGTCGGCCCAGGCAGTGCTGGAGAAGAAGGATGGAAAGGGGAGTGATTGTCAGCTTGACCTCTTGACCCCCACACGCACACTCGCTCAGCTGTGTTTCAGCAGGAGCTGTGAGGTTGAGCGTCTGCTCTCCTAGTCTTTATTACGTCCCTGATTAATGAGTCGGCCGCCAGGCTGGATGGCCTCCCACGGCCACACTGGCAGACCTGCCACTTCTGTAATGCTGATGAATGGTCAGCTGGGACAGAGCTCAGTAGACAGTACTGCTGGGAGAAATCTGGATGCTGCCAGGGTGCCCCGCCTCCTGCCGTTAGCACAACTGGCACATATGCACCACGGGCGTTTCCTCTGAGGAGGCAAGGGAGGCAGTGCCTCCTCGAAAATTGGATGAGAAAATATTCACATTACAGAAATAAAATAATTACGAAAATATAGCATAAAAACATGTGTAACTCACTCCTTTTTATAGCATACGTAACGTAAAAACAAAAACACTGTGGGTTTGGTGGGGGTAATTGAGAATGAATGTGAAAACATCTCGTAAAGGTGACATATCATGAAAATCTGACTTTTCCAGGTTTTAAGTGCTATAATCAGGTCTCCAGTGCATCTACCAACCAAGGAAAATGTGAAAAAGATTAACCCAGTAACTTTTCTTTTTGGTAAGCCTTTTTCTGCAAGCGTCTGATTTCGCTCCCCTAATGACATTGCAAAGGGATCTCATTATAATATTACCACCCCTTAATCTGTTAGTTTCCACCCACGGCGCCGTCATTTTGATTTCGTAAGCGACAACGGTGTACTTTCTGTCCATATGCTTCGGATGTGTGCACTCATAAAACCGTATATCAGAAGTTTAAACTAATATGGTTTAAAACT